GAGCTGAATTGAGCTGAAGCAGTTGACCTGGGTTTGATTCCTGGCCATTGCAGTCTCTTTGGATAAAGGCGTCAGCTAAATGACATGTAATGAGATGTCCCCAGTCACCTGGATGTAGTGTAACATCAAGTTGGTTTGCATGTGTTGAATGTAAGCAGGTTTCTGTTGGTGCCACCTGTAACTGAACTGAAGGTATAAGAACTATCTGTTTATTCCCTTAGAGAAAGACATATTCAGAACCTTTCTTCGCATTTTCCAATTGTCTGTGTAAATCTTTCATCACACTATACATTTTCCCTTCATTTTTTCTAATTCCGTAACTCCTGCAGGACGTCAGTGACGACTAGGAGCAAAGCTATCGCGCCACAGCACCACACATTTTGTCGCTGGAGTTGAAATATTGTTTGGGCATTTGAGCCGACTATGCCTGAAGATTTGCGTTGCTCCAGTCTCATTGTGTCTGTGCATAGACTTTTCTGAGTAATTCTGTGGGGCAAAATATTGGTGTCACGTTTGGTGTGAACGCACCATTAGAAAGCACAAGAACAAAATGGATTTTGTGTTTCCTCTAGGTTGACAGCTTTGGGGGTGGTGGTGCGTACCGGTCGCGAAGGGGGGGTTGTATACGCAACACCGATACCAACATTTTCTAGCGCACTCTGTCTGCTGTGTTTGCCCATTGGGATGGAACTCTGCGTGCCGACCCGCACTCTCTGCTCTGCATGTGATAAACTGCTTGTTCCTCCTCACTGAGAGCAAAACACTCGACTAGATCTCCACTCTTTGCTGTCCTGCTCCTAAATGGTGGAAGGAGGTCTCTGAAGACATCAGGACCACAGAGAGCCTTCACATCTTCAGACTAAAGACACACCTCTTCAGACTCTACCTCCACTAAAACACTATCAAATTGTAGCAGTTAAACTATACTTATAACGCCACTCATCTATAGCAAATTGTAAATTGGCTTATTTGAGGAAATTGCACTTTCTTGTTTCTTGTTCTTCTGAGTTTGTACCCTATGGTTGAATGCACTTATTGTACGTCGCTTTGGATAAAAGCGTCAGTTAAATGACATGTAATAATAATAATAATGTAATAATTGTAAAATGTTTCTGACAGCCAGACAGAGACTTTTATTATTAGACATTTTATTTCTATCACCGATCAGTGGACAAAATATTTACTTATTTTTAATCATTTGTTTTTTACATTTCATGATGACCATTGGGAGGCACGCCATACAAGGCTGAAACCACGGAGGAGTGTGGATGGTAGAGGCATCGTTGTGAGCACAGCTGTATTAGGCAGTCTGAACAGGGTGCCGTTAATAGTGATCCTTAGTATGTTTTAGACATTTGATTCAGACCAATCAACCAGTGGTACAAGGGCATAATATGGCCTCTTCAAGCTTTCAACATCCTTGTTCTTTAATGGAAGGAATACAGAGCCCAGCACAAAACATGTTTGTCCAGGAGTGAGCGTCCGTAGAAGTTCAAACGGTCTTAATTGATTTTCTAAACACCTGATTACAGCTTGTGTGATTTTGTAGTTGACCAACTAAATTGTACGCCATCGAAACCTGAGTGGTGATTTATACGATCGATGAAAAACACGCACACAGCATTTGTAGTGGAACATTACTTGCCTTTGATGTGTTGTGAGGCATTGTCCTGTAAATTATTCCAGGATTCCATATTTATTCCTTCTCTGCGGGGGCCATTGAAGCTGCTCTTTGTCCTTCTTTTGATCATCAGGGATTTTGCTGGAAGCGTAAAAGGATTTGGTTTTTATTTTGTCTCATAGAGACAAGATTGATTAGGTGTGTTTGAAATTCATTACATGAGACCGAGAGAACACAGACTGGGTCGGTCTGTCTGTACGCCTAGTAAAATATTCATGATGAATGAAAAACTTAAAAGCAGACTATAAAACACACTATCACGTCCACGCCAAAGGACAGCAGCTCAACCTGTAGAAAGCTGGACCAAGTAGCAATGGCTGAACCGTCTTTCACTTCAAAGTCTAATTGTACCAAATGGTAAAGAACATGAGCGTAATCGATGTGCACTAGCATCTTCAAAGAACGTATTACAACGCTCATTTCACAACAATGTCAAAGTGGATTGAGGGAACTGGCTATGGGTCATACACTAAAACCTGAATTATTGAGATCATGGAATAGTAATGTTAGTCGTTTAGTAACAGGCAGAGGTGGGACAAAGTCATTGTTACGCAAGTCACAAGTAATCTCAAGTTTTTGCCCTCGAGTCCCGAGTCAAGACGAGTCAAAGATGAGGCAAGTCCCGAGTCAAAGCCAACATGTCTCAAGTCGAGTCCAAAGTCTTACCATTTTAATTTCGAGTCATTTCAAGTCCTCTTACCACAGAAATAAAATGTATACAAATCATGTTCGTCTGTGAGATTTGTATTTATTTAAACAGACATTAACCAAATACAGTAAAAAGAGAACATTTAATTGTCACAAAAACAGTTTAACTTTCAAATAAACATGAGTCCTTTTAGCCTAGACTTTCTTAAACATGTCATCAATAGAATCCTCACTCCTCAAAATGATAACTTCTGAAAAACTGGACCAACCTGATAATATCATTTGAATCTGGTGTGTATGAATGAGTGAGTGAGAGAGCTGTGTGGACAGGTGATGAGCAGAGAGGGAGTGTGTGTGTGCATGCGTGCTGTGGACAGGTGGAGGGAGGCCCCTATACTGTATTGCATTTGCAAAAGATCAAATTGGCCAAAAGTCTGTCAGTCATTTGTGCACGATGGGGACGCAGAATGATTCCACCGTGGCTGAAAACTCGCTCCACTGGAGCACTAGAAGCAGGCACTGCCAAGACTCGGATGGCTACTTGAAAGAGTCTTCCTGTTCAGTGCCCAGAACAAAAGGGCATTCTGTCCTTCTGCCATGTCAATGTAGTGACTTTGCTGTACTGCTGGGGCCTGTTTCAATAAGGAGGTTCAACCAACTCTGAGTTAAAACTTGAACTCTGAGTTGACTTACCCTGAGATGGGAAACTCTGAGTTTTCGGTTACAGAACAGCTGAAATGAGTTAGTTCAATCAACTCTGAGTTGACCTACTCTGAGTTAAGCGCGTGCACCACAACTATAAAAAGCCATTATCAATGCAGCGCAGATATTACGAGTCACCATGGCAACAGCGCCAGACAAAAAGAGGTCTTCATATTTTTCACCAGCAGAACTGGATGTGCTTATGCAAGCATATGGAGAGTACGAACATATATTTTTAAAAAAAAGCAACACGGCTGCAGCGGCGAAGGACAGAGAGTTAGCTTGGGAGAAAATAGCTGCTCGAGTCAATGCGTAAGTTTACATTTGAATTACTGTTATACAGTGTTGTGTGTAATTCATTTCTATGTAATCTAAAAACTGTAATTTAATTCCGTAATTTAAAGTAAAATCTGATGTAATTGCATTAAATGCTGCATAAACTATAAAGCAATTCTGTATAAAACAATAGTGGATTTAACATCAAATTTTAAAAGATATATTTTTTCAAGAATAATTCATGCAATTGTATAATGTTTATTTGAAAGCATTAAAAGTGCAGTTTCTTGTCTCTCCTTGTATTGTTCAAGTGGTTGAGGTTGATATTTGATTTAGAAAGTAATTAGTAATAAGTAGACCAATGCTTTCTAGAGATAGTCATTATTACATTAATCTAATTACACTGTTGAAGAAGCCAGTTGTAGTTAGTAATATAAGTGACTTGCCCAACTGTTATAATATCAGAAGTGAAACTGGAAGAACAGTGTGTTATTCAACCTAATTTTAATTTTCATGTAGGTGCAATCCTGCAGGCATTAAAAGAACATGGCAGCAGCTGAAAATGAAATATAAAAACATAATTCAATCAGGTAAGGCTTGAACATATCATGGTTGTAGTCTACCTGACTTTACAAACATTTGACATATAAATAACTAAATAGCATCCAGTGTCTAGCAGTGCAGCAGCATTTTTGACATGGGTCTAAATGTTCATTCTCATTTGACTACTCAGCCAACAGAAAGAAGGCAGAGGCTCGCAAAACGGGGGGAGGACCTGCACCACCACCTCTGACAAATGCAGAGGAGATGGCCCTGAGCCTGAATGCTGGAAGGCCAATGGCTGAGGGAATTCCTGGAGGGACTTCATCAGAGCCAGTCACTCCAGAAGATTTAAGTGCCTTCATAAAATGTAAGAGGTCTACCTATGTGTTGTGTTTTTATATAGGCTATTTGTGATATTTCCATTTATTTTACTTTGGGGTGGGTTTTTCGTTGGTCCCAACAGATTCTGATGGTAAAATTAGTCTTTTGGAGCCTCCTGTCCCAACAGAACCACAGGCAGTTGTAAGTAGCCTACTCAATACACCAGAAATTATTACAAATAGTGTTATAAAGTGTACTCAAATGCTCATCTTCACAGGATGATGGGGATGAAGAAACAGTTTCTGCTGCCACAGAGATGCCTACAGAGGTAATGTTGATATTATGTGTCTATCAAACAATCTACACATTCACATTTCTTCACCTTTTTTATGTGGAGTAGCCTATAGAATCTAAGTTTAAATCTAAGTATAAACAGGTATTTTTATCTCTCCCCAGAGTGTGGAAGAACAGCAAGAGGATGGTCCATCAACTTCTGGTGCACAGATGAACACAGTTCAGTGATTTTTTTTTTCAGTAAATGCCACAGTTTAATATTGTAGAATTTTAGAACTACATGATGTAACTGTAATCTACTGTATTTTCAGTTGCCAGTTAAGGAGTTATATAGACTTCTTCTTATTAAAAAGATAGAAAAAAACAGCAAAGAACTTGTATACTTGGACCGCCAGATCCAAAAGGCAGATCTGGAAATTGAGATTCTGAAACTAAAGCTAGAGGTGAGTGCATGGTCACAGGTGAATTCTAAGTATTGAAAATATATTAAATTCTATTTTTTTTTATGTTTAGGAAATAAAGAACACCATATAAATTGCTGTGATTTTGTGTTTATTCATTTTTATTTTATTTTGTGGTTGGTTGGTTGTGGTGGTGGATATAATGTGTATTAATCTGTGAAGACATTTCGGCATATCATATCCCGGACTACCCTTCCCTCCTGGAAATCTGCCGGGTTGATGGGGTCTTCCTCTGGGTCTTGTATTTGTAGGGCAGGGTGTTGCTCCCCTCTAATTATGGCAATATTATGGAGAACAACACATGCCACAATAATGTCGCAGGCCCTTTCAGGGGTTACCCTGAGGTGACGTAGGCACTGGAAACGTGCTTTCAACAGGCCTATGGTCATCTCCACCCGGGCTCTCGTCCTGCAGTGTGCCACATTGAAGCGGCGCTGGGGGCCTGGTTCAGGTTCTGGGTAAGGGGTAATTAGTGTTGGTCGGCATGGGTAACCCCTATCTCCCAGCAGAAAGCCATCAATCTCTCCTGTAAGAAAGTTCACATTGCTTTAGAGCTGCATAGAAGTTCCCCAGTAAGTGTGTAGTGCATACATTGAAATACATGCATTTACTTACCAGTTTCCAGTCTGTTGCTCAGCGTTGACTCACGAATGTATCGTGAGTCATGAACAGAACCGGGCCACTTGGCCTCCACATTTGTAATGAGATGTGCAGCATCACATATGATCTTGACAATGCAAAGAATGAGACATGTTATAGTATTGTGATGTAGTCTTTGACCATTAGAAACAGTAGGCTTTCAGTGTACCTGCACATTAATACTGTGGATGGAAAGGGGAGGAGACAAAATAAACTCTGGGTTTCCCGAAGAAAACCTGCTCCCGACCAGGTTAGGTTCACAGAGTAAGTTGCCATGGTAACTGACTCTGAGTATAAGTTACCTCTCTTTCTGAAACAGGCTTGACTTACTCTGCTTTCTCAGGTTTAACATACCTCCCATTCTGAAACAGAAAACTCAGAGTTTCCCTCATTTCAGGGTTAACATACTCAGAGTTTTCACTTAACCTCCTTTCTGAAACAGGCCCCAGGTGGGGTCCCAACATCCCTTTTCTGCCTCTTATGGTATGCAGCAAACAGCCCTTCTCCTTCCATGTCCTCTAGTTCTTCTTCAGCAGGCAGCAGCACAGGTTGCTCTGTCTCTGCAGCATCTTGCAGGATCAATTCTAAAAGAAAACGTGTCACAACAACAGAAACAAAAGAGCCCTTATTACCATTACTGATGATGATACTATGCAAGACTGAAAATGTTATTATTGGTAAAGTCAGATATCACACTAGATTAGATTGAGATCAAATTATTTTACGTTGCATTTAAGTTGTATTGCAAGTCAATAATATTTACCCTTAACTCGTTGTGCCACCTCTGCCTTGATGTCACGGTTGACCAGCACATGGGGCTCAATCCACAGCAGCAGAAAAGGCTGGATCCAAGGCAGCTGCTTTCAGGGAGACTGTGTCTGAAAAGGGGGCAGTGATCCCTTCTTCAAACTGGGCCATTTTCACATTAATGAAGATCCCAGGAAATCCTTTTTTCAGGGAGGCCTGCAGACCTCTGACCAGGCCGCTCAGGAAACAAACTTGAGGCTTCAGCTTCTCAAGATGATGATTGAGGGATAAGACGGATGGAACAACTGCACTGATTGTAATGAATTTCTCCCCGTGTCAAATCAGTTGCTTCTCCGAACGGTTTCAAGATGTCCACCAACTCCTTCAGCAGATTCCACTCTCGTGGTGTGAAGGACAGTTCTTTATGCCCGGCCTTTTCAAGAATTGCGCAGAGCTTTTGCTGATCACAATGACGGACTGCTTTCACCTGCCGCAGTGTGGAATTCCACCTCGTACTCACTGCAGCAGGGATGCCTCTGTGCTCCCCAAATTCACCATCGAAGATGTCTTTAAACGTTGTGCTTGTGTGGAGCAGGGAGCTAAGTTTTGATAACTTGGAGAGAGAAGGACATGCCGCTTTTGTTTCTTTCAAACCGTCTCCCACAACCAGCTGCAATGTGTGTGCAAAACACTGGAGGCACTGTTTGTTTGCCACAGCAGCATTGACGGTTTGCTGGTCTTCTAGGGTTAAGTCATGCCATAGCTCAGGATCATCCAGATTATCTCCAGCTTCATCATCGTCCTCCTGTTCGCTGGGGAAGCAGACCGTAAATGCCTTGCGCCTGTTAGCAGCATTGTCACTAATGATATAGTCCAATTTAGCTTTGATGTTGTATTCATCACATATTGCCTCAAATTGGTCACAGATGTGCTCTGCTGTGTCAGAGCCTTTGAAGCGGTTGCAGGCCAAGAGATTAGTCTTTAGCTGTATCCTCTCTGCATCTCTCTATCCAGTGCACAGTGACACCAAGGAATCCCCTCATCTTTCGATCAGACCAAATGTCCACAGTGACTGAAACATTGTCAGTGTTGCTCATGAAGTCATTGGACCTTCCAACAAGACAATGATCCCAAGCATACATCAAAGTCCACCAAGGCTTGGTTTCAGAAGAAGAAATGGAAGATTCTAGAGTGGCCGTCACAGTCGCCTGACTTGAACCCCATCGAAAATCTCTGGTGTGATTTGAAGAAGGCGGTTGCAAACACACACCAAAGAATATTACTGACCTGGAGGCCACTGTCCACGAGGAATGGGCTCAGATTCCTCAGGAACGCTGTCAGAAGCTGCTGTCTGGCTATGCATCACATTTGCAGCAAGTCATAACAGCAAAAGGCTGCTCTACTAAGTACTGAAGATGCTCGGCATGAAGGGGTTGAATAATTTTGAGTCTGCAGTAAATTCATTAAAGTCATTAAAAATAGCATTTTGTGTTGAATTTGGATAAAACCTTTGTAATATTAGTTTCATTAAACTACTTAAACAAATCTTGTGGAATTTGTTTATTGCAAACAGCTGAGAAATTGTGGATTTTGCCAATAAACCTAATGTGCAATGGGGGGATTTCAGAATTCTGATATTTGAACTAAAGGTTGTGAGATAATGCATATGTCCCTGTGCCTACACAAGATGTGGAATTTGTTCCTCCTGTTGGATCTATATTGTCGGTGCCTTTCTCCAGCTCATCCCACTGGGGATTCTCCACTGCCCTTATGCCGTTAATCTGCACGATATTCCAGCAGTAATGGTTGGACTCCTCTGTCTCTATATATACTGGGAGGAGACCTGTTTCCAAAGCCAGGAACCAAGAGATGCTGGAAGGTGGAAATTGGGAAGAGGGGAGGTACAGAGCATACGGTTTGGTGAGGGGAGAACCAAATGGAAAGGTCATAATCAGTTGTGTTCAGTTCACCTTTTAAAGTTAAATTATGCTTCATGAAGCATCCTCGGTGTGTTTACTCATGTTATTTCCTGCCTTACTTTAGTGGCAAATGGGGTAAGGAAATTGTACTGACGAAGTCCTAAACGAAGTCTAGTACTGGTTGCTAATATGGTGGATTAGTTTAGACGTGCGCCCGGTGCGCTCGAACACAGCAAAACGGAGAGTTCTCTGATGTTACAATTACCTTGCATGTTTATTTTACATCCAAATATTATAAAACGGCAAAACTTTGAACTGATAATACATGTACCCAAAATAACAAACCGCATTGCTCACCACAAAGGCACACACGCACACTGGCACAGTCGAAAACTGTTTGCTTCCCAAATTAGTAACACCTGTGTCTGAGATTCCTGCATGTTAAATGGCCTACCTGGGCTGATCCGAGGTCAGCTGAGCCACAAAGCACATACAGCCCCCTAGTGGCACAGAGCAAAATTTAATGAAATAATACCAAATGTATATGGCTCCTACACTCCAGCCCCTAATTGCGTCTGCCAGAGCAATTACCCCAAATCGAAAAGAGCCATGAACAAAACAAAAAAAAATAGTTACCAATAGAACCAATTACTCTTTAGTTTCAATAAGCAATCATATTTTGGTTATGGGTTGTTCAATGATGTTTGTCTTGGTCTTTAAACGAACCACACGTACTAGACCTCTCTTATTAGGGAAGGTTTCCAGAACTCTTCCTAGCATCCATGATCCACGTGGTGCTGTGGAGTCCGCAACCATGACCAGGTCTCCAGGAACAAAATTCCTCTTCTCCTGGTTCCATTTTTGACGCTCCTGTAAAAGTGGTAAGTATTCGCGGATCCACCTCTTCCAAAAGAGATCCGAGATGTACTGTGTTTGTTTCCACCTTCTCCTTGCATAAACATCCCCTTTGTCGAACAGTCCTGGTGGGAGAACTGGTTTCCCTTTGAGGAGTAGCAGATGGTTTGGCGTCAACGCCTCAAGGTCGTTGGGGCGATCATTGAGCATAGCTTCAGCCTCACAGAGCACTGTATGGAACCCTTCGTCATCCAAGGTTTGCTGACGGAGCACAGAGCATAAAATCTTCCTGATCATCCGTATCATGTGCTCCCAACCGCCACCGTGATGTGACCCAGCTGGAGGGTTAAAGCGCCACTTGATTCCCTTCTTGGACATGGCTTTTTCAATGCGGTTATGATTCAAAGAGGCTAAGGCTTTTCGCAGCTCCTTTTCTGCACCCACAAAGTTGGTGCCATTGTCGGATCTCAAGTGCGAGACTTGTCCTCTTCGACAGATGAACCTTCGCAACGCGTTGATGCACGAGTCCGTGTCCAGAGAATAGGCCACTTCCAGGTGCACGGCCCTGCTTGTCATGCAAGTAAATACTACTCCATACCTTTTCATGATGCTACGCCCTCTTTTCACATCAACTGGCTCAAAGTAATCTACGCCAACGTTAGTGAATGGCGGAAGATCAGGTACCACTCGCTCTTCTGGCAGGTCTGCCATTTTTTGCTCAGCGGTTTTCCTACCATGGAGCTTACAGATGAGGCATCTTGATATGATCTTCCTCACTGCAGTGGGTCCACTTGTGATCCAGTATTTTCTCCTTATAGCAGAAAGAACATGGTTTCTACCTCCATGTCCAAGCTGTAAATGGACATGATGGAGGATAAGGTCGGCAATGTGTTGGTCTTTTGACAAGATGAGGGGGTGTTTAACGTCCTCGGGGATTGCTGCCTTATTCAACCGTCCCCCAACTCGTAGAAGTCCTCCTTCTAGAACTGGATCCAATTTGAGGATGCTGCTACTTCTTGGTACTTGTGGCTTGCCAGAGGTTAGTGCAGAAAATTCAGTGGGGAATCTCTCTTGCTGGCAAAAAGTGATTATGGAGGTCTCGGCCTCCAAGAGATCTTCCAGTGTCACCTTCTGATTCCCAAGTGATGTTGAGAAAGCTTGCATCTCCTTTTGCACATCAACCCTGGCTGTTTGCACATTGTAACTCTTTTCTTTTCATCCTCAGTTTGAGCAGAGTTCCTTTCAGCTTAATGAGCCGCGCAACTGCAACCTTCAATATTTGCCAATCAGAGAACTGGGTAATCAGTTGTGATGTGGCGTTGGTGTCAACAAGTATTGCATTGACCGTCAGACTTCGCTTTACTTCTGGGTCGTCGGCAGTGACACTGGAATCCACAGGAAATGTTGGCCATGTTTCTTCAGGTTCCCGTAGGAATTCCGGGCCTTCTATCCATCTTTGCTTCAGATCTTCTGCCTTCAATCCACGCGAAGCAGGGTTGTCAGCAGGGTTCAGGGATGTGGGAACGTATCTCCACTGGTCAACTTCAGAGTTGTCCCTGATGGTGGTTACCCTGTTTGCTACAAAGGTTTGAAATCTTCGGTCCTCATTTTTTATGTAATTAAGAACGGATGTGCTGTCAGTCCAAAAGCAGGTCTTCTTCAG